TATATATATATATACAATCAAATATATATATATTTGATTGTTTAATTTTATATTTTTGGAGGTTATATTGATAACCTCCAAATCTTTAATATGATAAAAATACGATTGTACTTTAATTTAAATGAATGTATTGTCATAATTTAATGATAATATAACCATGTTGTTAAATCACATTGTACAATAACACTCGCTAAAATTATGTTACAGGGGAAAAATAAGAAAACGCGTAAAGTTGTAATGCAGAGATTTGCTCAAATGAAAAGGATGATTAGTCTGAGTGATTCACGAATGTAAGTTTAATGTCTCATATAATTTTTGACAAATCATTGTTATTATTTTATAAATTATGAAAAAAATAAAAATGAATTTTTTTTTATAGAAAGCCAGAAAAGCGATTGCCATCAAAGAAAACTCCGAAAGAAGATAAGACTAAAATAAAAATTACAGAAACGTAAGTAATGTTACTTATAAATGAACATATACTATATTATACTATATTATACTATTTTTGATATAAATATTTTTGCATTTATATTATGAAATAATTATTTATTATAAAACATTTTATACTTTGAAACTAGTTCTTTTTTCTTTCAGGCCACAGCAATCCTCTGCATTATTCTTTCAGTATAACACACAACTTGGACCACCATATCATATTTTAATTGACACAAACTTTATTAACTTTTCTATTAAAAATAAATTAGATATAATAGAGAACATGATGGAATGCCTTTATGCAAAGTGTACACCATATATAACCGATTGTGTAATGGGTGAGTTAGAGAAGCTTGGACAGAAATATAAATTGGCATTGAAAATTATCAAGGATCCACGATTCGAAAGATTAAAATGTATGCATAAAGGAACCTATGCAGATGATTGTCTTGTAAACAGAGTGACACAAGTAAGTATAGACTACAGAATTTTATTATGTTAAAAAATTTTTTTGACAATATAAATTTACTTAATTGCGATTGGTATAAATAAAAAATGTACGTTGTATTGTTATTTCAGCATAAATGTTATATTGTTGCAACAAATGATAAAGATTTGAAAAGAAGAATTCGAAAGATACCAGGTGTACCAATAATGTACATATCTCAGCATAGATTTACAATAGAAAGAATGCCGGATGCTTATGGTGCACCCAAGAGATAAGAGTAAAATTTATTTTAAATCAATTTTTTTTAATGGTTATTTCTTGTACATGTGCACACAAAGATACACACTTTATTAATAAAATATGTACCATATTGATATGTTATTTATTCAAATGAAAATTTAATTATTTTATTTATTTTTTTTTAGAAAATTAACAGATAGAAATATTGTTTTGTCATTAATAAAGTGATAGTTTATTTATGTACAGGTTATACTATCCAGCTTACGCGATATAGTAAGAAAAAGCAGAGATACAACAAATATTTCCTCTGTACTTTGCAGAATTTTATCAAATTCTATTATAAGTATTAATAAGATATTTTATTAAATATAACTATTGTTATGATTATTTTTTTGTTTGACTTAGTTTTTATATAATAGTCCAACAAATTTTTTACAAA